GACCGACTAACACAAGTGAAAATATTTTTTGTCTATCGTAAAACGGACTCAACGGGACGAATCAACTCGCTTTGACAGTTCTAATGGGAATATTATTTAGTCATACAACAAAATGAAGTTTAGACATAGTAATAATAAAATATGTATCTTATTTGTTAGATGAGAGATTGAAAGATGAAGTATAATGATTAAAAATTAATTATTATTTTTCATGATTCACAAAATTTAATAAATACTTATCATCTTGTTGAATAATTCTAAAATCATATTCAAAAAATCTTTATAAATTGAAAATTAAACTTCTTTGGTAAGCTATAGGTATGAAAATATCATAATTTCGATTTAATCAAATTAAATTAAAATTAGTTACATGGATTTCATATCTATTTAATTTACACGACCAAAATAAAAATATCTATTTAATTTACACGACCAAAATAAAAATATCAATTTAATTTATAAAACAGATGGGTTATTTGTGATAAATTTTCTAGAAATCTTTAGAAGCAAATAAAATATCTTTCAATTAATGATAATTGGCTAAAATGAGCGAAATTAATGACAAAAGCATTGATTGTTATGGAATTAGTCCCAAATATATATGAACAAATTTATTATACGTAATTAATGTATAATATTGTTCGGAATATGCTTTTATTATTAGTTACCATAAGTACAATCAGATTTTATTTTATTTCCATAAATATTTGATTTTATTTCGATTTTTCATTATTAATTCGAATTTATATTCTAAAAAAATTTCAAAGATCCAATTTCAGAATTTCGGGTCAATTTTCTGATTTTAACCCGACCCATTTTCATTTCTACTTCTCTTTTAATAGTATAGAGATTAGTTTTTGTAATATGCCCCATTTTCTATATAACGTCCTGACCGGTCCGCTACGTCTGGGAGGTTTTAAAGACTTGTTTACCGGTCCTACAAATCACCACATGATCTTTCTCTGTGTTTTGTCATCACTCACACAGTTCCGACAATCACTTCCCGGAAGGTCACCCATCCTGAAACTACTCCAGCCCAAGCAAGCTTAACTGTGGAGTTCTCTCAGGATGGTTGACCGAAAATATAAGTGCACTTTGGTGACATAGGTGGCCAAATCAATTCTTTTAAACCTTTCCGCATGCACCACCATATTTCTGAAACCGGGGTGTTACAATTCACCCCCTCTAACAGATCGCAACGTCCTCGTTGCGCACCAAGACCGTCACCCCCTACGGTGTGAGCCCTCTTGACTCCACACTCGTCTGGGTTCGGCTCTGATACCACTTGTAACGCCCCGATCGTCCCTACCAGTGGGCTCCACGTCCTCTCTCGGCCCGTGAGTCCACCTCTGTCCGACGGCCGGTCCGCTACGTCCAGGAGGCTTTAAAGACTTGTTTACCGACCCTACAAATCACCACATGATCTTTCCCTGGGTTTTGTCCTCACTCACACAGTTCCGACAATCACTTCCCGGAAGGTCACCCATCCTGAAACTACTCCAACCCAAGCACGCTTAACTGTGGAGTTCTCTCAGGACGGTTGACCGAAAAGATAAGTGCACTTTGGTGACATATGTAGCCAAATCAATTCTTTTAAACCTTTCCGCATGCACCACCATATTCCTAAAACCAGGGTGTTACAAACTAAAAGCTTATTTATTCATTGGCATCACTAAAATTATCTAATATGTTGATAAAGTATATATTTTCTATTACAATTTCAGTCACTGCGAGATTTCTTTTTGTTTGGGATCAATCTATACTAGTATTTTTGCAGTCAATTTTGAGTCGGGTGGGTAAAATTGTTTTCGAATACTTTGGATATCCGACCCGTTTACAAATTTTGGTCATAAAAAGTTTGTTGGATCTGGTTATATTTAACCCAACTCATACACCGGATATTCTATATTTAATAATTTAGATATTTAAAAGATCTGATTAAGATTTAGAATTATGATTCTCCTATCATCTTTGTTTGATTTGTTTTTAACTGTTTTAAATCATCATATAATACATAAAATAAAAAAAATTAATTATTTTTCTGCATATACTGTGATTCAAATTTTTTAAAAAGGACATATATTATCCAATTGACCAAAATATGTGTTTAACATTCTACATCGATTAAAATATTTAGACAATGATTACAATCATATCATAAATAAGATCAACATTAATAAAATAAAGAGAAATTATTAAATATGCCCCTTTTTTAATACCCCTTTTCAAAAATGCCCACTTTGAGAGTCTATTTTTAAGTTTGCCCTCTTTTAATTTTTAATGACCATTTTACCCTTATTTGAAACAAAATTAGGTCCACAAAATACAAAATATTTTTTGGCGGGAAAAGTGATTCCGCAATTTTCCCGCCAAAACACTTGTAAAAACTTGTAAAACCTTTAAAATACCTTGTAAAATTTTCCCGTAAAAATTTTTCTCGCCAAAAAATTTTTTTTGCGGGAAAAGTGATTCCGCAATTTTTTTGGCGGAAAAAATTTACAAGGTATTTTAAAGGTTTTACAGAGTATTTTACAAGTGTTTTGTAAGGTTTTACAATGTATTTTAAAAGGTTTTACAAGGTACTTATAAGGTTTTATAAAGTATTTATAACTTGTAAAACCTTATAACTTGTAAAACCTTATAAAATAGCTTGTGAAAGGTTATAATATCTTATAAAAACCTTATAAATACGTTGTAAAACCTTTTAAAATACATTGTAAAACCTTATAAATACCCTGTAAAAAACCTTTAAAATACTTTGTAAATTTTTCCCGCCAAAAATTTTCCCGCCAAAAATTTAAAGCCAGAAAAATTACGGAATCACTTTTCCCGCAAAAAAATTTTTTTGTCGGGAAAAATATTTACGGAAAAATTTTACAAGGTATTTTAAAGGTTTTACAAGTTTTTACAAAATCACATTTGTAATTTTGATGTGTGCACATTCTCAGGTTTTCCTTATATATTTGTGATATCTTTTATTAAAAGAAGGGTAATTTAGTCATTTTGTACATAAAAATGGATATTTTTAAAAATGGACAGCCAAAGTGGGTATTTTTGAAAAGGGGTATTGAAAAAGGGCATTTTTGTGAGTCTCCCTAAAATAAATTAGTTTTTTAGCGGGACGTGTTTTTGAATCAACAATAATAAAAAAATTAAGAGAAATTGTTAAAAATACCTTTTTTTCAATACCCCTTTTAAAAAATGCCCCCTTTGAGAGTCCATTTTTAAGTTTGCCCTCTTTTAGTTTTTAATGACCATTTTACCCTTATTTGAAATAATATTAGGTCCACAAAATACAAAATATTTTTTGGCAGGAAAAGTGATCCCGCAATTTTCCCGCCAAAACACTTGTAAAAAACCTTTAAAATACCTTGTAAAATTTTCCCGTAAAAATTTTTCCCGCCAAAAAATTTTCCCGCCAAAAAATTTTTTTTGCGGGAAAAGTGATTCCGCAATTTTTTTGGCGGAAAAATTTTTGGCGGGAAAAATTTACAAGGTATTTTAAAGGTTTTACGAAGTATTTACAAGTGTTTTGTAAGGTTTTACAATGTATTTTAAAAGGGTTTTACAAGGTACTTATAAAGTTTTATAAGGAATTTATAACTGTAAAAAACTGTAAAACCTAAAAAAAC